TGAGCCCGAGGCCTGTGGCTGCTGCTGACAGTGGCTTATAGCACCCACAGCCCTGGTTACTGGAGCCTCTGCTCTGCCTACCCCTAGAGACTGGGGACACCTGGGCCCAGGCCTGCCATGCTCCCCACCTCCCGCACTGTTGCCACGGAAGCCAATGAGCCCCCGCCGCAGCAGTGGTTGCTGCAGGGTCCAGGCTTGGGGGTGCAGTATACACGAGCTCCTGGGGCCGCCGCCTCCAAGCCTCAGGATTAGCGTGGCTTTGCTGGGAGAAGGGATGATTGCAAAGGAGCTGGTCCAGGGGAGGCCACATGTGCGCGAGCAAGCCAGTGGGTGCGCCCTAAGCCTGTCAGCACCTCTCCCACAACTACCCAGAGCCCGCGTGTCCTGTGGCTCCTCCCTGCCACCACCACCATCACACAGCCCCAGCCCTGACCACAGCCCAGCCTGCACCCACTCCGGATTTGCCCTGGCTGCAGGTGACCAGCTGGAAACCATTCACACAGCCCCACGCTGGCCCGCTCTGTGCCTGCTCCACACTGCCTGCCCACATTGAGCAACAGCAGCAGCTGAGCAAAACCTGCTGCTGGTACAGGGGAAAGCAGCCCTTTCTTCTCACTGCTGCCAGGCTGTTCTTGCTGCAGCCACCTGTAGCCCGCACCCAGGCTGCCCCGTAGGTCCTCTCTGCCACTGTCACTGCCACCTCTGGCCTGCCCCATGGGGCAGCGGTGGCAGCGTAGAAGAGCAGCAGGGCAACCCAAGTGAGAGCTCCGGGTGGCTGCAGCAAGAACTGCCCGGCAGCGGTGAGAGGTAGTGCCGGCAGCCGGAAGGAGCCAGTGCCACCTGAGATGCCTACAAAGGCAGTCCAGCTGCAGAGTCACCCCAGCCCCAGGGGGCAGCAGGATGTGCCACAGGCTGGATGGCACTTGGGACAGGTGGAACTGAGGAATCGGCTGCAGGCCGAACAAAGACCCTCTGCGGGCCGGATCTGGTTCACGGGCTGTATTTTGCCCACCCCTGAGCTATTTTCCTATTGATTAATATCCTCATAAGGATTTAGTCTCTTAAAGTAAAAGTGGAAAAATGTGATGGTTATTTAATGAGTAGCCATAAGTTGCATTTGAATCAACAGAAATAGACTTGGTGCACTGATCCGTACTGTCAGCTACCCAGATTACAGAAGGCAGAAGTATCCCTGCTGCTGGAGCTGACAGTACCACATGCACTCCCATGAGAAAAATTAGTTCAGCAGTGCCATAGTGCTGATATGGGATGAAATGTGTTATAATAGTGATGTTTATGACTTAAGGGTGCAACATGGCACAGGAAATGGAAGAAAGTGCAACTTCCACACCTCTTACAGCACCTACCATTAGATGCAGAATTAGGTAGATAGGAGACAGGAGGGACTAGGAATGAAACAAGATATTCTGCATCTCTGCAGTTAAAAAAAAATCAGCTGAAAGAATCTGCAAGCCAGTACACAAACATCTAAGGTCTGCTGTGGGGAAGGTGGAACTAGTGACCTCCTTTCCTCCAGAAAGACATTTTTTCTATGTGTTTCCATTTCTAGAGGCACTTTCCTCTTTGTGAATGTTCCCCCATTAGCGTACTCTGGTTTACCACCATGAGGTCCCGCTTCTCTTTATGCCTTTGCACTGATTAGATGAATAACCAAAAGCCCTTCCTGATCTTGCACTTCTACCTTTTCTCGCCTATGTCTTCCCAACTGTGAACTTGATCTACTATCTGAATTTGAATTTGAATTAGTCTACTGGCTACGTGAGGTGAACACAAGTGTTTTGACTCTGATTCAGGCATTCATGCTGTAAATAGAGCAAGAAAATAATACAGCTTTTGGGGACAGACCTGCACTTATGCTAAGACTGCCTTTTACTGCTCTTTTACTAGGTAAGCCATTAACCAAGACGTGTATATAGTTCTACCTATGAGAGCAAAGCAATGATTCTGCCTCTGCTACTGAAGATTGAGTTGAAAATCCTTCATCCTTTGAAGCAGTTTCTCTTAGTTTAAATCCATGGTCAGGAGATGGGGAGAGGGCAAGTACAAGAGAGTTATTCTGAATGCAGTGGCTTCCTGGCACAAAACTTAACTGCATATGCACTGTGACATGTTTTAAACATGAATTTCAGTGCTTTTACCATTTTGAAGGGAAACAGATGGGATTTTCAAAGGGCCCAAAGGCAGCTAAGTTACCCAAATCAATACAAGTTGTACACTTTCAGGATTTAGAAGCCTTTGAAAAGTTGCCATTAAGTTGTTATAAACACCTACTTTATCTGGAGTAGGGCTTTTTCTAACCGAATGAAGGATGTGTACATAAAACAATGGTGTTTTCATTCTGGTTCCTTACTATAGATAACAACTGGAGCAACTACAGCCCTCCTTTCTTTGATCTACTGGACTAAAGCCAGCACTGATGTATCTTTAGTACAATTCCTAAATTAATGGGATTGCACAGGGAGAATATAAAGGCATCTGGTGTATAGTTTTTAAAATCTCAAATGTGTAGAGTTTTTAAATAAAAATGGTATATATAGATTTAAACCACTGTCATCTAAATTATCTTTCTTAGCTTCTGACACTGGAGGAACTAGCTACTCTCCTAAGCTGTTGTTAATTACACGTTATAAACAGATACAGATCTCACCTCTTCATTTTCAATTTTAAGTGTGGCCAGTCGTGACTGTAGCTGCTGATACCTCAGCATAAGCTCCGCTTGTACTGGTTGCTGGGCAGTGACCTGACAAACCTATCAAAGAAGCAAAAATGGCTGTGAGACTCAAGGAAAAAAATTCAACTTGACCAACACAAGCTGGGGTTATTGTCTTTAAAACTCAAGAATCTACTGAAAATATAAATTAAGCTATAAACAAGTGATTTCAAACATGAAAATCTCAATTTAAAAAAATATATATGGCTATGGGAGCTGGACTCTGAAAAAATAAGAGATTCGGAGACTATAAGCACTTGAAGCACAGTATTATCACAAATATTGAGAATTTCATGGCTAGCAATCATCTAATGACTGGATATTGGAGAAGACTGGTGTGACAAGAGATCTTAGCAACACCATTAAGAAAAGGAAGCTAAAACTCTTTGGACATGTGGTTAACAAATAGGGTCAGGGGTGATCCTGCCTTGAGCAGGGGGCTCAACTAGATGACCTCATCTACTCCCTTCCAGACCTATTCTCCTATGATCCAGAAAAGTGTGGATAAGCAGCATAAGGGAGTGGACAGAATTGAAGATCAATCAGGTAAGATTAGCAGTGAAGAGATAACTGTGGAGAGATCTGGCTTATTGGGTCACCAACCCTCAAATCACAGATGCATTATAAGGTGTAGATATATATTGTAAATATATGTAGTGGCACTGATATTTCTCTCCACTATGGTTGCTTTGTGCTGCTCCAATGACACCTAATCATGTAATCTCAGGAGGTTCCCTATTGGAAGGGAAATCCTCAGCTGTCATAGTGCTCTATGCAACTGGCCTCTTGTGTAACAGAAATAGGGAACAGTTGGAGAGCCTGTGTGTCCTGGTAACATTCAGATCATAAAATAGTCCAACAGGGCCACTGTTAGTCAAGCAAAGTTTCGAGCAGGTCTGAGACTGCTTTAAGTTTACATACAAAGGCCAGAATAGGGATAGCTGATGATAACACACCCCTACCCAATAGTTCCTCTGTTCCTGCGTTGAACACAGCTTGGCTAGAGAAGAAAATCTTGTAGAAGGCAGGGTAGATTTGCACCTTGTAGCCTAATCAAAGTAAATAGATATACCTAGTACAAGCTTTCTTGGGATAAAGCTCACTTTATCATATGCTGTATGAAGAAAATTTTGGCCATCATCATTATTGTGGAATATAAAACATAAGAAAAAGGGTTGTTTTATGTGAGAAGTATTCTGAGTAGCTCTGAATAGCATGTTTCTTAGTTTTCAAAAGGTTTCATTTCCTGATTTACACACGTCTTTGTAATAATACTGGCTAGACTCTTTGTAAAAGTAAATATAAAGCTTCCTCCTGAAGAAAAAAAACAGAATTCTACAGACATGGATACTTCCCTGGTGTGAGACAGGTATTATTGTTTGTGTTGATCATATTTTTCTCCAAGAAGTCACCAACTACTTACCTCATCACCCATATGAGACTGGAACTCAAATTTCATTGGTGGGCAAAAGGCAGTGGGGTACATCTCCATAAATCTCTGCTTATCACTTCGTGGCTCCAAGCTGTCAACAGCATTTTCAATGATATCTAGACCCTCATGTCTGGAGGTTTCAAGATTATACTCTGCAGAGAGATATGTTCTTAGGGCTCTGTTCAGACTTGCATGATATCCAAGATCGCAACACTAATAACACAAAAAAGGAAGGGGAAACAAAAATCAGGAACAAAATTTCCTGGCCAGGACATAAAAAAGCGTACATAACCACTAGCACTTATAGCGTCACAGTTATTTTCATCTTGAAAACTCTTTACAAATAACAGCCTTCACAACCGCAATGCCAAGAGAGTTAGTAATAATTATCTCCATTTTACAAAGGAAGAAATGGAAGATTAAAAGAAAGTTTTGGAAGAGAACAGAGCTTCACACACAGAAGCATGTAATGCTCACGGGAGTTTCAATACAATTTTTTTACTGAACCTATTGATTCCTTTCAAAACCCAGCTATATATGATTTCTCCAAGATAATATAGCAAGTAATCTGTATAGCCCAGTAACATAACTACAAAGGGGGGGACTGGGACACCATCAGAGGTACCAGTTTGGGGCAGGGTACCATCAGAGGTGCCAATTTGCTGATCCAGCTGCTGCTGCTGCCACTGTGCTGCTGCTGTTAAGGGTATGGGACCACCCAGCTACACTTTGGTAAGGCCAGGATTAGAAACTGCAGAGCTGCTGTTTGGAATTCTTGTGCTTAAATTAAATAGCTAATGACTCCCCTCTGTCTGAGATGTTTTGGTTTAAAAGAAAACAAATTCTCCACTAAACAAAGAATAAATATATATTTAGCATATTTTTTTTTCCAACTATTTAAGTTGGTCTAATAAAAGATATCAGATTTACCCAAAGAACCTTGTCTGCCTATTTAGCATATATACACTATATTCCGTGTTTTAAATAAATCCAGCACTGAATGTCATGTTGAAAAAGCCATAATTTATTCCTTTTCTTTTAAGGGTTATGATGATGTTAGAACTAAGTGAAATTTAATTGGTAAAATGTAAACTAAATTTGTTGCTTAATTAAACATCTTTGGCTTAAACTATTCCTATTTTAGAGTAACAGCTGAATTTATTTACAAAAAATGGAATGCCAGTAGCATACATGGTAATTTCATTTTTTCAGTGTTCAATCAACAATATTCTAAGAGTCTGCTAAACGATCATACTACAACTACTCTTATTCATCTGGATGGTGGTCTGCTTACAGCAGCATACAAGTGATACCATTCATCAGTGCTGATTTTTTAAAAATTACAGGAAATTTAACTAATTAAATTAATTAATGTTTTAATTAATTTATGCTTGAGTTATACCACAACCACGTTAGGAGGGTTTTGCAGTAGAGCAAAACATCAGGATCTTTCATTGTATTAGGATGCCTGCAAGGGAACACTGTAGTCTTGAGAGAGACTTGTAAGAGTTGGGGAAAATGTGTAATGAGAGCAGATAGGGAACATGCTGCTTCAGAACATTCTCCACTCAGTTTCCATTGTTCTATAAAACTGCCTTCCACCTGCAAAGCTCATAGGCAAAGTGCTACAAGAGTACAAAATTATCATTTCCCTCCTGTCTCCTTCCCTCCTGCCAGAGGAAGGAATCAAGCCTGATAACTTTTTAAATCCTTTGGGAACCTCATTATGAGGGAGATGGGTGCAAAGGAAGGACTTGATTCCTGCCTCTGGCATGGGGGACACAGGAGGGGAATGATCATTTTGTACTCTTGTAGCACTTTGCCTATGAATTTTGTAGGTGGAAGGCAGTTTTATAGAGCGATGGAAACCAAGTGGAGAATGCCCTGAAGCAGCCTGTTATTCACCTGCTCCCTCTTACACCTCTATTCAGAAGAAATGTTCCAAATATGCACTACAAATATATTTGCATGTGAAAATTCTCCATAATTCACACATCTTGCCATATGCTGTAATAAGCTCTGGTGCAGTTTGTCCTGGAGTCAGCTGCTCTTGGGTGCAGCATCTGCACATGTCCCTGGACCGCAGCAGTTTTAGCCAGAGTGGAGCATCCCTAGGCTGGCAGTAGGCTTGGGGAGTCATCCCTGGGCTCTGGATGGGGGCATCAGGCTGGCTGGAGTACAAGAGTGCCAACACAGTGGAGCTGTGTGGCTAACCTTCCACTGCTGTGGTCCCGATCACTATCCATATGTGATTTTCTGTGCAGTAAATGACTCTGTCGTAAGATAGTACTGTCAGTACTATTTTATGGCAGAGTTAATTAATTTACTGTGCCCTAGTACCGGCAGATGTGTAGATGGTGATGATTTACTGCAGAGCTGATTAGTCAACTATGCAGTAAAGTACATGTGTAGATGCACCATGTAAATGAATTTAGATGGTTCATATACATTTGTAGATGCACTATATATATGGACCATTTTAGGCCATCCCCTACTCCCCCAAGAAATGTCATTCTTAATCAAGAATGTAGAGCCAGATCCTTTTCCCTCCATATCTGTACAAGTTTGTGTTATATTTAGAAAAAAAGGCAGAGTTCTGACTTTATTTTAATCACATCCATATTTTAAAGATTTCCAGTCTAATAATACAGCTGTTAGCAGGTGTTTGCAAAGAAAGTGCTTGCCCTCAATTTTATCTTCTTCTGTGTTAAATAAAACCTTAGAGTCAATTTATTATTTTGGATGAAAAAAATAGATTAAAATGCTGGTAAGAAAGGAGATAGGGCCAGATGTTTTCTTTTTTTGTGTATTAATTCTGAAGAGACCTCACAGAAGATTAAACTGAAAGAAATTGAAGGCAATGCTGCTTTCACTAGGGTGCACATCTAATCACTTGGTATAAACCCAAAGGCATCTACAAACTCAGTTTTGGAACTTCCAGACTTGTATTAGCAACATCGGACACTGATTTACAGAGAAAGCCACGACAATTACAAGCCCATGGAATTTTGAGGTAGCTGGAAAATGGACGCCCAGTCTTTGTCTATTGATAGCACTAAGTTTTCTATGATTTAAATCTAGATGCACTCAGCAACCATCAGTGACTAAACAATGAAAAAAACTATATCTATCACTTTTAGGGTAATGATGGACTGTAAATACTGATTCTTAATCAACGGTCTTTCAAAATTTTCAGCCTAAAATTCAGAGGAAGAATTCTGGAAAGTTGAAATAAGCTACTTAATGTTTACACAAACTGTACTTTCGATTCTTTTGAGGTTTTCTCATTGATAATTTAAAGCTGAGGACCTTGTGGCTAAAGATTTTCATAGGTAACCACTGAGGCTGGACAAATGAGATGGTCTGTGATTAAACTGGATGTAAAAAGTAGACAATAAGAAACTGTGTTTGGGGGATATGAGATCCCACTGGAAAGTCTTTGGCAGTGGAAGATTAAAGCTAACGAGAGAGACACTTGGGAGGAATGGGAAAATTAGCTTTGTATCTGGCATTTAATTTGGCATTTTAATCATTATTTGGAATTAAATCTGAATCAATATTGTGAGCAATTCATTTATTCATGCCCATCCTGAGTACATTGAGGCCCGAATAAAAAGTGCAGTACAGTACAATCAAGCAACCAGATTGCTCTTATTTTGATGAGCTAGAATAAAATTCCAATGGCACCGTAATTAAAAAGCAGGCAAATTCATAAGATGACCTTGAATTCTAAATATGTCATTTTCTAATCAACACTGTTATCTGGACATTAAGATTTAAAATCAAATGGATCTGTGTGTACATATATTTATGGAAACTTATGTAATAAAGGTGATGAGCTACATATAATTTAGCCTAATTTCAAACTTGACCTATAAATGACTAATGAAACACATGACAAAAAGTCTTTAAAGAATAAATTAACTTCACTGAAGGTTTGGCTGGAAGCAATACCAACACTGATTTCTAAACACATCTTCTAAACTCCTACACATCCCAAACACCACAACAGACCAGAATCAAAAGCTGAAATATTCTATTCATTCCAGTTCCCTGACCACAGACCGCTTTGTTGTTAATGCTGTTTTGTTTTGATTGCTGTTTCCCCAGCATTTACTTTTGGATTATAAATCTGAACTCTCACCTTACAGGCATATCTTAATTACATGGAAATCTTCAAGTAACACAACAATAATATTCACCCTATGGACAGATGTTAGTACAAACAGGCAGATTAACAGGGAGTCTACACTATACTGCAGCTTAGAGATCTACATTCCTAATTCAAAAACCAATACATGAAACAAAGGTTGCTTAATTTAACTGAAAAACATGTCTTCGTCACTTTCCATACAATCTAAATCAAATGTACACTCTGTCTTGCATTTGAAGTAGATCTTCCTGTACATCCAGTAGAGGAAATAATCTATTTGAGGGATAATTCCAATTCCCCTGCCTGAATAAAAATGGAATAGAAGCAATCATACATATAAAACAACAATTATCCTACCACTTCTTTTATAAAGGTTGGCTCTAACATTAAATTTTCAAAATGCTCCTCCAAAACATAGGTTTAAGGCCCAGGCTTCATTTTTATCTGGCTTTTATCATGAAGATTAATATGACTATTAACTATACAGAAGCAGGTTAAGTAAGAAGCACTGAGCTTTCTTAATGAAATAAGTGAGTTGAACAGTTCAGAATGAGTTCAGAGTTCAGCTGAGAGTTGCAATTTAAGATCTTCCATAAGAACTTGAGAAAATCAAGTTATACAAAAGTTCAGGTGCCAACTATATTGGAAAAAATGACCCCTAACCCCTTGTTCAGTATGTTTCAAGGCTTCCAAAAGGAATTAGTTTGTAGAGCTTTTTAAATGCATGATTGAGATTATACTAAGCATATTTAAATACATCTTATAACATGAATCCATTAAGGTAGAAAAGCTAACATATAAGTTAACTCATAAAATTATCCTATTTGCATAAATGGATAATAAACTACTGTAATTACTTGAATACAAGATGAGGATCCCCTCCAATCAGCATGGGGAAAAAAGCCCTGCCTTGCATTCACATACAAAGAAACCTCATTAAATACATTGTCTATCATTAAACTACTGCCAAAAGCAGCATGTGCTCATTAATGGAAACCACCTATGAAGTTGATTAAATGCAGCCAACACTAAGCATAACTATAAAACACATGGCCCACATTGGGCAAATGGACTATATAGCAGAGTATATATTGTATTTACTCAAATATAAGATGACTCCCAATAATTAGATTGTAAAATTTATAAATGTGTTATAATTTTCCAGGTTCAGAATCTAATTATTGGGTGAAGAAGTAATCATAAATCTGGAAGTCAGAAGCGTAATGTTCCATTAGTAAATTTACAGCATTAGGTTTTTCTGGTTCACCACTACATGTACTCAGTGAGAATCATGTTTCATATTTTGATTATATAATCCCCATACTTGCTTCCATTTACTAAAGGTATTTCCTTTGTCAAGTAGTAAACACTTAAAAAAATCTGTTCTCTTCTTTCCTACTTTATATTCTGATTACGATAGGAGTGTCTGAAAGATGCTTCATTTAAACTACCTCATAATTAGATGAAATGGGCTCTGAACCAATTTATGGTTACAATTTTTATAACTGAGACCTGTGAATAATGGTGCATACCTTTAGGGATTTAATGGCATCTTTTCCAATCAAGAACTGCCAAATTGTATAAAATTTAGGTTTCCTAAAAAAATAAATAAAAATCCAGTCTTTGCAGTGGCAGGACATTGATGGTGCCTTTGTCTCCTGTAGCAAGTTGGGGTGTTTTTCATGTTTTGGGGCACTGTGTCTGGCAGTTGTGAGAGCACTGTTTGTGAAGTTTTAGGAATAAGTTATACCAGGTATCAGACTTAGTCTGTGGACCAGATCTGGCTTGCGGAGCTGTCACTTGAATTATGGAGCTGGTAGAGAGGCTGGACGCAAGCAAGAGTAGGGCTTGCCACCAGAATCGGGGGCACAAAGCCTGACAAGCATGCGAGTCAGCAATGGGGGCAAGTGACAGCTGCATTAACCTGGCCCAGAGGGCAGGGTGATTTTGATGCCCCAAGGTTAGACAAACTTTGGATGAGCAGGGTATTGGATTCACTGGCCTCCTGAAGCCCCTTCTAGCCCTCCTTTTTGGTGATTCTATGATTCAAACATTAACCTCAAGTGTTATCTAATGCAGTTATGTCTTTGTAAGTCTGTAGACTTTGTAAGTCTTATTTTTGCAGAGCACTTTGCAAAGCTCCAGGTCCGTAAAGTGATTTGTCTTGTCAGTTTTCAACCGCTGCTATCAAAAACTCCCTTGGCATCAGTGCAATTGACAAGAATCAGGCCTGTTTTCCCAGTCTGGAGCTGAGAACTTTGGCTGCCCATACATGTGCTCAAGAGTGGGGAGGGGATCATTTTAATTAAAGCAGTTCCCAGAGAGCTGCTCTAATTAAAAAGCTGCAGCGCCACATGCATTAAGCCCCCATGAGTTTAAAAATGGCTGTGGAACACTTTAACTAAAGCTCATTAAATAAACTTTAAAGTACCCCCACAGCCATTTTGAAACACAGGGGGCCTTAATACACATGATACTGTGATGACGCTAAAGCAGTCTAATTAGAATACAGAGCAAACTCGATTAATTGAGTCTGCTCTGACATATTCCAATTAGAATGCACTGAAGCATGTCAATAGGCTGCCTTTCTGACCAAAGTGGAAATAGACACTTGAAGTATCTTCTAGGGAGGGGGGCTCAAAATCAGAAGCCAGAGGCGGGAGAGATTAACAATAGGACAAAAACCGAGAATATTCTTCTTCCTTGCAGCATCAGGAAAGGATCAAGGAGCTTTAGATTTCTCAGACATCTACGAACTAGAGGCTACAAATGATGGAATCTCCAAGCAGGGTCAGCCAGGGACAGCAAGCACATAAGCTGGGACATCTTGACATGTGTGTGCTGCCTCTGTGTCTCATCTTGAGTCCTCTGGTTTAATTGTCTCACAATTTTGGTAATTTTTTCAAAGTAGGAGGAATCATGGTGAGTAAATGAAAGAGAAATAGTATAAGATAGAAAAGTCAAGAGGAATACAGGGATAAGAAAACAGAGCAATCAACAGATGTAAAAAATAGAAGAGAATGAGAAAGATGGAGGAGGAGAAGAGAGATAGTACGATACTGAAAATCCAGCAAGAAAAGATCCACCATGTTCTGTTGCAAGAAGGAAGGAAGGAAGAAAAAGCAGAATGAAACCAGGAAAGGAAAAGTTCTAACAAAAGCAAGTCTGATTGTATAAATTCCATTACAAAGATACATAAAGAAGAAAGCTGGTTCTCCATGTTGTAATCAAATATAGTACCACAAGACTGAACAGCTTAGTCTTTGAAGCTGAAGGGGAGTTTTTTATTTTGTCTACTAGGTGTCTCATAAATTTTTCAAGCTTTACATTAGCAAGCTTCTCTTATGGAACAGGGATCAGCAACCTATGGCTCATGGGTCAGATCTGGGCTGTGGAACCTTTGGATCCGACTCATGGACGTGGGGCGTTGGCAGTTTTCAGTGATGAGGGGCACCTTCTGTGAGTGCTCTACCTGTGCTGTCCTGGGGACAAACACTGACTGCAAGGGCTTTCCCTATGCCGGCAGAGACAAAGGTGGAGCCGCAGTAGGTTCCTAGCACCTGACTTTCCATCTGCTCAACTCTGACCCAGGATGGGTCATTCTGGTCCACAGCTGGAAAAGGTTGTCTACCTCTGCTCTAAAGCATCCAATACTTGCCACTGTCAGAGACGGGATACTACACTAGATGGACCTTTGCTCTGACCCGCTGTAGCTGTTCTTATATACCTGTGCGGCCTCACTGCTTTCAGAGTTTTTCAGATGTGTAATTCATCAGTAACTAGTTCTGTTGCTGACATAATTGATTCATTTTACTCAATTTTGTTAGTTCTCAAATGCTGATAAGAGTAGGAAACAATAAAAACATTTAACACTAAAGTTAACAGAAATTATTCTAAATATATGAAAAGAACAGCTTTTCCAAGGAAAGTACAATTTTTATATGGTTGCTTTATAGAATAAAACAACGCTTTACAGTTTAATTTGTAGTATCCCATTATTATTCCAGAAACTGAAACTGTCTAAACTTTTCTATGTTATGTACTGTTTGGCCCCTTCTACACATTATAGCTATTGCACAATTAACTGATTAACTGCACAACTAAACTGAGGCCAGCTACGCGTGCAAGGTATCCATCTCACCACATGAAGCTCCAACCAGGTATAAAGTTAGACTTCTAAAACATGTACTAACTTTATAGCTGGTTGCTCTCTACCTTTAATGTGCACATGTAGCAGCATCTCCCCTGTGGCTAGGAGCTACCAACCCCAGGGATGCACCATGCCCAGGACGGGTTGGGAGTTCCACAGCTGAGCGGACTCATAGCCACAGCAGCGCCCAGTGGCTGCGGAACTCTGGGGCACAGCTGCAATCTTCCAGACCCAGGGGTATGTGGTGCACCCCCACAACTGGGAGATTGCAGCAGCTGTGATCTCCCAGCCAGGGAGGGAAGCTCCATATACAGCCACAGCTGAGAGACTGCGGTAGCTGAGACGTGCCAGCCATGGGGGACACCATGCACCTTGTAGCTGGGGGACTGCAGCTGCTATGAACTCCTAGCCATGGGGAACATGGTACAGACCCCACAGTTGGGAAACTGCAGCTGCTATGATCTCCCAACGATGGGAAATGTGGTGTGCCCCTGCAGCTGGGATCCACTTCAGATGAAGGAGCTCACAGCCACAGGAGATTGCTTCTTGCTGGTGCAGGGGGAGCCCAGGATCAGGCTCCTCCCCCTGCACCAGCAATAAGACATGATGGGATCTAATGTGCAATCCCACAATCGTGCCTCCTGCCATGCACGTATGACATGGTAGGAGGCGTGAGTGTGTGAATTGTGCATTAGAGCCTATTGCTTCTTTACCTGTCCACGTAGAAGGGTTCTTACCAACATGTTTTCTGCAGGCACCTAGGAGAAAATTTAGCTTGCTAATTTTTAAAGACACGTCTTCAGTTGCCTACAGACTTTTTTTTTGGTAAAATACAAAATTCAGAGGAAAATTTATTGATTACATTATAAAAAATTATTATGATCCACATATTATATGGTATGTGACTAGTATACTTCAACTATTGTATGTATTCTCTTTGAAGATGAAAGATGCAATGAAAATGCTCCTTATTATTCCTGAACAGAATAAATGGATAAACATCAAGTACTTACATCAATTAAATCTGAAAGATCATGAATATAATACTTGAAAACAGAAGCGTTGGTTGCTTCAAGGGTAAGTAGGTACTCATTTCGGGCTTTAATAGATTTCAGCTTGTTTTCAGAGTATTTTGCTTGACGCTAAGAAAAAGATTGAATGTTATGATGAGAAAGTTTGAATTATAGTACCTCAGTATTATCATGTAGCAAAACACAAAAAGTACTGATTGTTACTGTTGACAAGAAAGAACCTTTACTTTCTGCTGTGTACTTACCAAGAACACAAATTCAAAAACCTTTCTAGAAAAAAAGTAATTTTGTATTTAACTTCACATATGACCAAACCATGTAAAAAGTATAATTCAGGGAGAAAACATACTTTCTCCTTGAATTTCAAGTCTATTTGCAATTAAGTTTTTTTTGTAAACTACTGCTAATTTATTACATATTTTTTATTTAATGTCATTTCATTATATGTTACATATTTTCCAAAATGGACACACCTGTTTAATGTTGTAGTATTGAACTGTATAAATCTAAGCTACAGTTTCAAGGGATCTTAGAACAAATCTGAGTTTACTTCAAGTGAAGCAGGATAACAAGCTTTTAAAGAAACACTATTTACTTTTTCTTTCATTTTTTCAATCTTCTTCACAGAACTCCGTCTCTGGTGTCTCTCCTCTAGTCGAATATGAAACACAGGGTCTCCTGACCTCCCAATCTGTTTTTCTTCTTGCTTCTCCGCCTCCTTCAGCTTGCTTTCTGCACTGATGCTCTCTGCATGATACATATGGTATGTTTTCATGACCTGTAGAAGGCACAGGAAAAGTAAGAGGCAATGGTAATCTAAAAACTAGACTTGGAAAAACTGCAGGGCCCCTGAGAGAAAGCAACATCTTAAAAACATGAAGTTCTTTTGCCAACAAGGTCTGAGGCTCATAGATTTTATTTTTCTTTTTTGCTATGGAATTTCATCTCAAGAGTTAAGAGCAGACCTGTATGCCTTGCTCTCAAGAGGTATTTTCAATGAAGGATATATCCAATGTTAAAGGGGTCATTATTCTGTTTAAGTAAATATCTTTCTGTAGCACTTTGCATATTCAAAGCATTGTGAAACATCTTTTGAATAAAGGGAAGGGTGATGGAGCATTAGTCTGAATGTAAGCAGAATAATTAGCTTCTCCTTCTCTCTCATCTTCCCCTCAATGTATAGTTGATATACTGAAACATACTGCTACATAATTTTACATCAAGCTATTAACCATCTCAGACAAAATTAAAAAAGAATATAATCTTTTAGCAACTGGTTGTAAGAAACAATATGATGTCATACAGTATACAAACTTGATTTTAGATGAAAGAACAAATCTGTATCATTAACTTCTACAGCACCAAAAGCAACTCATGACTTCATCCATATACTTTAACTATGCGCAATAAATCAGGGCTATATTACGTTCAATTTTTAAAATGTTTACATCTTCACACGCATGTTAACAGCCCTTATCTTTGGTTACTGAAAAAGAAAGTTTGAAAAAAACCTAAATGACTGCTCTTAGAAGAAGAGGAAGAGGAAGGAAACAAAGCTAGCAGAGACCCTAATTCTGAAGAATATATTCATGATTTGCTGGAGAATTCTAGTCCTGAAATGAAGCAGTTGCTGACTACGCAACAGATAAGTCTGGCTAGGGTTAAAGCAATCTATCTAGAGATTTAAAGATCAGATGAGAGTTGGGAAAGGAGAGGTTACATAAACAAATGGTATGTGAACTTCCCCCACCCTTAATTCTCTATGCTTATCCCATTTATCTCTCCCCTCTTATGCAGCTCACAGGTTTCCACTTCTCTGGAATTATCTGTCTGTATAGGCCAAGAGGGCACACAGGACAGTCCTAACTATGCTTTCTTAAAAAGAAGAGCAAAACACAAATCCCACCAACAGTAAATAACATAAACTTCAAAGCTAACCTTTTTGCAGCAGAAGTATAATTCCTATCCCATAATTGCTACAAACAGCCATCAGGTGGGGAAGGCCTTTTCTCAATGAGTGAAGGAGCTCCCTTTCTATGCTCATGTGACCATCTGCTTTCAGGTTTCTATACTGGCTTCAGAGAACACTACATGTGTGAATCTTCAACACTGGTGGCCTCCTTTTTTCCTTTCCAGGATGACAAAGCTGTCAGTCAGGCAGATGTCACTGTTGGGCCAATGCCATGCAGACCATTTACAGCTTCTGAGTCAGCCAGCCAGGAAATACATTGGCTGCTCCTGCCTCAGCAGGATGTTGTAGAATACAGTAAGAGGTATTCTTAGGGAGGTGCCTTGAAATACCCTCTTGGGATAGAAGCAGTTTCTGTTGCAGCATAATCGGGAGGCCTAAAGAGCTTCTATATGTTGGCACTGAGGAGGCCTCATAGATGGACAGAGGTAAATTAATCTTACCCCACAATGGAAATATGCCTTAATATTATGATTCTCAGAAACCAGCTGCATCCTATTCCAGGTGGCTATAGAATACAAGTATGAGAACACTAGTATTTAAAATTTTGGGCAACAAACAAAAAGCTTTTGGGGAATCCTTAATAGCATATGTAAAATGTTCAATAATTTAAGCTATTGGCAGAACTAAGATGTGAACTCTCTTGAAAAAAATAGCAAACTGTTCACTTCCCCCCCCTCCTTAGCTAAGGCAAAACCTTGCAGCATTTCAAAACTAGTTGTTTTTAGAGCAGATTTACAAGCATATGATCGCAGTTGCTATGCCCTTCTGTGGAATGGATATGTTTTAATATTTTGTCTTAACACTAACACCTAACGAAATGTGGAGTTCCCCATTGTTCTGTATACACACATAATAAAAGGTAATATCCATGTGTCCAAAAAGCACAGAAACTAAAGCAAGACAAAGGCCTGGAAGAGGAAACAGGGGCACAGCATATCCATGACAGAGCTGGAAATGGAACCCCAGTCTACAGATTTGGAGTTCATGTGTTTAACTGAAGGTTATACTTTACTCCTTTCATTTTGGATTTGTGCTAAAAGCATTTCTAATAGCAAGTAAGAACTTTACATCTTGGGATTCCTTATAGACAAAATGAAAAAAATTACGTGTCCTTTTATCAAGAATTGTATTTTGTAAAACGAATGCTAAAAATAACAGGAAATGACAATGTTCTAAAAAAGAGACATGAAAAGGAAAATTAAAAGTAGAGATTGTGCCCTTTCTTTTTTCTTCTTTATGATATACATTTACAGCGAAGGCTTAGAGCTTTGCTTTTAATGGAAAAGCGTTCCAGCCCCAGACAAAGAATCAGGATCTTTTGGCTCAAGGATCACCATCATACTCATGGCATAAAGTCATGCAGTTTTTCAGCGTCTCAGTTTTTTCTGCCCATGAAAAGGGCACAGTAAAAATTAACTATACCTAGCATGTTTTCAACTGTGGATCTCTAAGTATTTAATCATGTGAGTGCTATTTTACAAACCAACTAAACAGATCTGAAGCAATTCCCCCCGTCGCCCTCCCTACCTCCCCCCGTGAACCCCTATAGAGTAGAAGATGCGGCATAAGTCTCTCTCTCACTCTTGGCCAGTTTTTCATACATGAAGCCAAGGTGGTGCATTCAGCCAGCCCCATTATCTGCAGTAATGAAATACCCCACAACTTAAAACAAGCTCTTCCTGAGAATCCCAATAAGCCCAGTGATGGAGCTTTGCTTGTCTATTTTTCCCCTGCCATTAACCCACAGCATGAACGACTGGTGCCTCCCACAGCGGTGGCTTCAGCCAATCTCAGGTGGGGCACGTGCTCCCCCATGGCGCTCTTATGTGTTACCTATCTCCCACAGCAAGGCTATAAAATCCACAGCATGCCAATATACACTAAATTAAAGCAACATTCTCAACTTTGTCCTCTCACACAGCACAACCTTGACTATCTTCCAGGAAATTGGTAATCTTGCTTTGTCTTTGAAAAATTTATACCTGCTATTGTGACATGAACACCTCAGATTCTGAGAACCAAGAGAAGAACATTTCTGTTTTAGCAGTATGCTAGTCCCCAAAGAGTTTGCAGTATTTGAATCGCATCAGTTTAGAAATTAGTGGAGTTAAAATTGTTGCAGACCTTGTGTGATACAATTACACAGATATGTATACATTGGTATAGCTGTGTCCACACTAGAATAGTATCTTGATATAACAATTCTGGTTTCTAAATGGCTCTAGTTAAATCAGGTATCCAGTTGTAGCCATACTGGTCTAAAGACAAAAGGAGTAAGAACTCATGGTAGAGGTGGTATCTTTTATTAGAGCAACTAGATTTTTGCAAAAAAAGGTCTTTAATTACAAGCTTTTGGGTACAAGAATGCTTCTTCAAGCGTAGGAAGATTGTAAAAGTTCTATTAGGTAGAAATGAAAGTTTATTTTCATAGGAGAGTTGAGGGTGTGGTAAAATCTCCTGTTTGGAGCAGTTCATTTTATATGAGCCTAATCTGCATATATATTGAACTGCTCCAAACGGGAGATTTTACCATACCTTCAACTTTCCTATGAAATACAAGCTTTCATTTCTACCTGGGAGAACTTTTACAATCTTTTCTCCTATGCTTGAAGAAGGGTGCTTGTGCCCGAAAGCTTGCAATTAAATAATTTTTTTTGCAAAAATTGAGTTGATCTAATAAAAGATATCACCTCTATCACGAGTTCTGATTCCTAGTCAAATCAGTGCACAAAGTGTGTATCAATCAGATCTTACTTTATACATTTGACTTATGCCTAAGTTGGTTTGTTGAAGGCACTTCTCTGTCTTATGCACTCATACAATGACATTGTTCTTATGCAATTCCCTAAGGTCAAAGAGACCATTTTCTTCAGACCCTGCCAGTGGGTGTTTTCCAGTAACAGCAGCAGCAAAACTAATAGGAGAGACAGCAGGCAGGAATGAACATATAATGAAAGGAAGTAGGTGAGTGGTGTTGGCTTAATTTTTTTTACTTTCATACCACCCTTTTGCAACAATGGTTCTAACAGCATGCTTAATATTGAGAGGGACAAAAGCCTGCCTCCCTGTACATTGGCCACGTGTGTAAGGAGTTCTGACCCAGGTTCTCAATCTGTTATTCAAACCAGAAATATTCTGACCAAATGTACAATATCCCTCTCAATTACCTGGCAAATTGCTGAACTGACAGAACATGCTATCAGAGTATCTATCACTATAGTGACTTTAATTAGTCCCCAAAGTGGTTATTGATCAGCCATCAAGTGTTCATTGAAGAGAAAGAGCAAGGCCATAATTTTGCAGATGCTGGGCTGTCACCATGACAGATATACTGTGATCCTGGTTCCATATCTGACAAATGTTTTTAGATTCCAAAGTAGTCTCCTTAAAAATAATTAAATGAAACATTTTCCCTTGCTACTTTAGCAGGTTTTTTATGTTAGATATGATTTTTAAAACAAAGATTTCTGATGGACAATGTCAGAATAATAAAGGCTGGAAAAGATTTGATACCCGAAAGTGCAAGTCTTCTATATGTGAAATGACAAACTGCACACAGAGCTATAGACTGCCCTACCCCAAAGCGTATTTAATTCCATTTGTTTTCCATAGTCCCCACTCTTTCAATTTCCAGCATGGCACGATCTTCTGGCTTCAAAATTTTCACAACATATAGCTTCAGGTTTGGACAGTTGAGAAGGTGAAACAAAAGTAACCAAAGAATTCCTGCCCTTTGGTATACCCAGTAGTTGTAGCCTGTCCTTACTAGTAACTCCCTCTGCAAAATGATCTTATTTGGATGAAGA